AATTAAAAAGATATAGTCATGCTCAAAACCAAGATTAACATCTTTATGGAACAGAAACAAATAATGGTAAGGAGAGGTTGAAGCTGTGGACCTCTGGGGCTCTGGGTACAGAATATGTCAGAGAAAATCAGGAGCTCAACTCTTGAAGGCTACAGTGTTGATTCAAGATAGGAGTGCTGAATATGGACTCCCTGCTTGAGATTATGCTCAGATATTAGGATCCCCACTTACAAAGGAAGCTGAAATAAGCTGTCATCAGTCACAGCCTGGGGTTGTGGCTTCTAAAAGTATTAGACTCGGATAGGAGAGAGGACGCAGACCTCTCTAGAAATTAAAATACAGCATCCTTTGGTCTAGGGACGAGATCTGCAATATCTCTGATACCAGCAAAAGAAAGCAATCCCAAGCTGCCAGTAAGTCCTGAATGTGGATGAGTAGTTCTGGGTATCAGGAGGAGGCAAATGAAAGACTGTTAAGCAGGAAGGAGAAAGGACACAGAGAGAAAGATTAAGAAACAAAAACAAAAACTTGAGCTACTCAAGATGAGCTTATAATCCAATAGTCTAAAACACAGAAAGAAAACCAAATTCACTCCTGAAAAAGTCAATATAATAAAGAAATACAAGGACCAGCTACAGTGGCTCATGCCTGTAATCCCAACACTTTGGGAGGCTGAGGTGGGCAGATAACCTGAGGTCAGGAGTTCAAGACCAGCCTGGCCAACATGGTGAAACCCTGACTCTACTAAAAATATAAAAAATTAGCCAGACGTGGTGGTGGGCATCTGCACACCCAGCTACTGGGAGGCTGAGGCAGGAGAATCGCTTGAGCCTGGGAGGCGGAGGTTGCAGAGAGCTGAGATCGTGCCACTGCCCTCTAGCCTGGGTGACAAGAGCAAAATTCCATCTCAAAAAACCAACCAACCAATCAAACAAAATAAATAGAAAGTATTTAAAACTGAGTACACATAGTCTTAAAAGATAATGAAAAGGACATTTAATTTACGGAATAAATCAAGAAATAAAAACAGGCAGATATGAAATAAGTACAAATGGATATAATTAAGAAGCAATGAGAGGTTCTGTAAATAAAAAATAGAGTTACTGAAATAAAAACCTGGCAGAGTGTGGTGGCTCATGCCTGTAATCCCATTGCTTTGGGAGGCCAAGGCGGGAGATCGCTTGAGGCCAGGAGTTCGAGACTAGTCTGGGCAATATAGTAAGACCTCGTCTCTACAAAATATTTAAAAAATTAGCCAGGCATAGTGATACACTCCCAGCTACTTGGGAGGCTGAGGTGGGAAGATCACTTGCACCCAGGAGTTTGAGGTTACAGCGAGCTATGATCATTCTACTCCATTCCAGCATGGGCAACAGGGTGAGACCCTGTCTCTAAAATAAATAAATAAATAAATACCTCACTGGACAGAAAAATTCTAAGTGGGCACCTATGAAAGGAGAATAAATGAATTGAAAGATGATCTAATTAACTACAATGCCATATGGAGATATGAGACAAAAATGTTTTAAAAAGCAGTTGAAAGACATTAAAAATGAGAGTAATCCAATGTATATTTAATGGAAATTAAGCAGAAACAGTTTTCAAGGAAATAGTGGAAAAGTAATGTTTGAAGAGCTGTATGCTAAGATTAAAGATGTGAATTGTCATGTGAAAGAGCAAACGGGAATTAAGTAGATATTTAAGTAGATAAGTTAAGTAGATATTTAGTCTGAGAAGGTCACAGAACACTGCAGAAAGAACAGCAAGTCCTGTTTCTGGTTCTGGTGGCTCCCTCTCTCAAGATCAACCCAGGAGGTACTATAAAGGAACGACATCAAAATGAGAAGAAATTGAAAGCCCCTGGGGAGACACAGAGCTCTTTTGAACTGGTACATTTGTGTGAGAGGGAGTAGGGGTGTTGGTGCTGGCTTTATCCTGGGACGGAAGGAAGGGAGTCTGCAGTGACAAGATAACATAGGAAGAAAGTATCATAATGACACTCCATTCACTGCCCTGCAACCGGCCTCCACAGCTACTGTGACTCAGGCAGCTGTACTCAGGAGTACCTTCCAGTTTGTGCAGAAGCCGAGTGGGCAAGGAGCTGAGAAAATTTGGCGGGGACTGGGGTAGGCTTGGGAAGATGCTTCTTCACCCTTCCTCTTCCTGTCTCCCAGGTGGGCATGTGGTTTGTAATTTAAGAAGTATCACCCCTAAAGACTACTTCCTCTTGGGGTATTAAGAATTAAGACCTAACTTGAGGCGTTGATCCTTAGAATGAGGAATGATCAGCTCAGGTCAGATCAGCTCAGATCAGCGAAAGGGAAGAAATGCTCTTCACTCTAGAGTCCATTTCCCTCACCGCCCACTTAAGCTGATAGGGAGCAGATAAACTAAGCTCTAGCCTTTAGCAATCCTAAAACGAAGCAGCCATTACATCTAAAGATAACCAGTCATTGGAGGAGCATAACTATTTCAAAAGAAAAATAAAAAAACTGAATCACAGATTTCATCAGAAGCCCAGATATTAGAAAACATAGACCAAGAATTTAAAATAAGTTTACTAAACATACCAAGATAAATACAAAAGGATATAAGTAATATGAAACAGAAAGACATAACATAAAGAAGAAACAGAAATACTGAATATTACATATAAAAATAGAATAGTTGAAATAGAGAATATAGACGAGATTTAAAACTGAATGGATACAGCTGAGAATAAATTACTAAGCTAGAAGATCAAATTGAGGAACTCACAGAAAAATGAGAAAACGAATAGAAAGTATAAAGAAAAGTGAAGAGATATAAAGATAGAAAGAGAATTACTAATATCCAGATAATAAGAGTCCAAGAAAGATATAAAAAAAAAAAGTGAAAATCAACCGTAGAAAATGTTTGAAGAAAAACCGAGAAAACTTTCACAGGACTAAATAGAGATGAAAAATCCTCCAACTGAAAAGTCCCATGGGTGAGAAAGAGGAAAGAAAAGAAAACCACACTTAAGCATACTTTAGTAAAATTTCAGTCTTTTCAACAAATAATGTTGAAACAACTGGATACACTTAGGCAAAAAAAAAAAAAAAAAAAAAAAAAAAAAAAAAAAATTAAAAGCCCTTGATCTATATACTTCACACCTTATACAAAAATTGATTCAAAATAGATCACAGACCTAAATGTAAAACATGACCCTTTTAGGAGAAAACCTATGTGACTTTGTTTAGGCAGAGTTCTTAGATATGACACCAAAAGCATGATTTAAAAAAAAAAAACAAAAAACTGATAAATTTGACTTCACTGAAATTTTAAAATTTTGCTCTGTGAAAGATATTGTTACAAAGAAAACACAAGACACAAACGGAGAGAAAATATATGCAGATCACATATCTGACAAAGAACTTATATCCAGAATATATAAAGAACTCAAAACTCAATGGTAAAAAGAAAACCAATTCAATTAGAAAATGGATAAAAGATGTGAACATCTGAATAAAGTCAAAGATAAGTTATAATGCCACAAATAAGCACATGAAAAGATATTCAACATCATTAGCCATTTGGAAAATGCAAATTAAAATCACAATGAGATATCATTACAGACCTATTAGAAGAGCTAAAATTAAAATAGCAGTAATACCAAAAGTTGGTTAGGATGCAAAGCTACTGGATCTCTTATACATTGCTCATGGGAATATAAAATGGTATAGCCACTCTGGAAAATAGTTTGACTGTTTTTTACAAAACTTGGCACGCACTTACCATACAACCATACAACTCTCTGACATTTATCCCTGAGATATGAAAACTTCACACAAAAATATGTACACAAATATTCACAGCAACTTTATTCATCATAGCTAAAAAAGGAAACATCCGAATATTCTTCAATGAATGAATGGTTGAACAAAATATGGTATATCCTGACACTGGAACGTACTCAGCAACAAAAAGGGATGCGTTACTGATTCATGCGACAACCTGTTAGCCCCCAGGAGCATTACACTGAGTGAAAAAATTCCATCTCAAAAGGCTGCATACTGTCTCATTCCATTTATACACTGTTGTAGACATGACAAACACTGCAGAGATGGAGAAAATATTAGTTATTGCCAAAGGATGGGTTGGGAGTGTGGTGCGTAGCATGAGGCACTTCTTTTGTGATGATGGAACAGTTCTATATCTTCATTGTGGTTCTGTTTACATGTATCTATACATGGGGTAAAATTACATAGAACCACACACAAAAAAACACAAATGCAAGTTTAAAAATCTGAACAGTGAATTGAAGAGTTGAACACTGAGTAAGGTCTGTAGTCCAGTTGGTACTAATATACCAATATCCGTTTCCTGGTTTTGATGTTGCACTGCAACCATACAACATGCCAACAGTGACGCAAGCTGAGAGAAGGGCATATGGGACTCTGTACTATTTTTGCAACTTCCTGTGAGTATGCAATTATTTCACAGTAAGAATTCTTTTTAATGGGTAGAAAAAGACTGTTCAATAAATTAAATATTGCCTATCCACAAGGGTACAAAGAAGGACTCGATCTTCTACTATACAGAAAAATTCTAGAGGACATAAGAACCTCAACACTTAAAAGAAAAAATAAGAGATTTTATTATATCAGGGTAAGGAAGAATTTCTCAAGATTTTTTTAAAAGCACAGAACATTAAAAAAAAACTTTGATAATTTGACCTTATTAATATTTAAAGCCCTGAATAACAAAAGCCACCAAAAGCGAAGTTAAAAGACAAGCACAATTTCTCTTGGAACATATGAGGCTGCAAAAGACAAATTAAAAAAAAAAAAAACCCAAAACATAAAAACAAATTGTCCACTAGGGCCTCCAGAAAGAACACAGCCCTACAGACACCTTGATTTTATCCCATTGAGCTCTGGGTCAGGCTTCTAACCTACAGAAGATAATACATTTGTTTGTTTTAAGGCATAAAATTTGCAGGGATTTCTTACAGCAGCTATAGGAAACTATAGACTTACCTCTGTTGATTTCCAACCATGAATCTTGAGTGGAAGTGTTTCCCGGGACAACATAGTTTCTGTAGGCAAATGAAGATCTTGGCAATGCTCTTGTTTCAATTCTGCCTTGCACACGTTTTCTGTCAACAATATGAAGCTAAGATTTTACTTTGGCAAAACACAGTTATGTTTTTATATTAGTTCACAATTTGTAAGTTAGTCACTTCTGAAGATACCTTTTTTCCTGCTAAATATAAACCATCTGCCAATGGTAACCTATGAGTGTTAATCACTTTAGTATGCCTCTTTGTAGTAAGTGAGAAGTTCAGACTGATTTTAAAAATACAACTTAAATTCTTAAGAAAATAAAATTATTTTCTTTATATTTGACAAATATCCATACAAATTTATAACGCACTTACGTGGTTTTGATTGACTGCATACTAGCAATAATTATAATAAGTCAATCTAGAATAAATATTAAAATCTTTGGTCAGAAAATTTAGAAACATAATTTAAATTCTAGCCCTTTCCTACATCAACAACTCTGTTATAACATTACTTAGTCATCTTTTCTAAAAAATAAGGTGTAATATAGTATAGAAAATAGAGTCTGAAAAAGTGAAAAGTATTCAAATAAAATTTTAGCAAAGCAGGAATGAGAACGATAATGATTTTAATTAATATTTTAAAGAACTTTATTACTGCAGTGTGAATTTGATGTGTTCTAAGAGAAACTAATCAGAAATGTTTAGATTATTAAATAAAAGAACTCAACACAATTTTCAAATTTTGATTTGAACATAAAAGAATACACCTGTGATATGGTTTGGATTTGTGTCCCCACCCAAGTCTCATGTCAAATGGTAATCCCCAATGTTGGAGGAGGGGCTTCGTGAGAGGTGACTGGATCATGGGGCAGATTTCTCCCTTGTTCTTGTGATAGTGAGTTCTCATGATAGCTGGTTGTTTAAAAGTGCATAGCACCTCCCGCTTCGCTCTCTTCCTCCTGCTCCAACCATGTAGGACATTCTTGCTTCCCCTTTGCCTTCCACCATGATTTTAAGTTTCCTGAGGCTTCCCCAACCATGCTTCCTGTACAGCCTGCAGAACCATACACCAATTAAACCTCTTTTCTTTATCAATTACCCAGTCTCAGGTAGTCCTTCATAGCAATTTGAGAATGTACTATTATAGCCAGTGAAAGTAAACTGATATTTCTGTTTATATCTTTTTGCTAAACAATATTTTTACAGTCCTAATCTTTCCCTTCCTATGTTAACTACTATATATTAGTACCAACTCTAAAAAGTCTAATCTGAAAGTATTAGTACCAACTGTATCTCAGCATATCATTGGGCACAATAAGAAGTATAAGAAAACTACTTTCAAATTGGTATATACACACTGCTGGGGATATGTAAAGATTTCCCAAGGGCTAGGTGGGCATGGATAGTTTTAAAGGAAGCAATTTCCAGATCCACAACTTCCACCTATGTTCTTTCCAAAAACTGATCTGCCTGAGAATGCAACTAGGCAGAGCTATTGGGCTAGTTCTTTCCCCTTTCCCTCCAATAATCAATTTTCTCCCACTTTACAAAAGAAAGGCATATCCTCACCCATCTTATTATGATACATCTTCCCAAGCATTGAAACCTCGAAGGCACCAAACAATAGTTAAAAATACTAACACAGAGGCAGCCTCCTTTTATCAAAGCAGAAAAAAACTAATGGTCTGTCCTGTCCATACATTTCTTTTAATGGGAAAGCATGGCATAAGTAACAACGTATTTTGGTCCACACCAGCATGTTTGATATTCTGATATGGTACAGTATGAGGCAGCAGGGCAGATGACATGTTTTGTTTAATGTCTTTGTGTTTTTCATTTCTCACCTATTATGAAATAATGCATTATTCCTAAGGAAGGGTCCCCTGAGAGCAAAGCCAGGCAAGCATGAGAGGCAGGGGTGCCATATGTCACCAATGCAACAAACTCCTGATGAGGCTGTGTGCCTTTGCCATCCATCTTAGGAAAGGATTCAGGAGTGTGAAGACAACCAGGAAAACATCTATTTATACATTTCTTTTAATACAGTAAAACATTTTCTGAAAGAAACTTTAAATCTGATTTGGCTACTTGTCTTAACAATGAGAGCTGGCTTTGCCAACTAGATTATATGGTAAATATTTTCCAAAAATTGAACGAATCAAATCTGAGGTTCTGTAAAGTCGATGAAAGTATATTTAGAGTATAAAATGCAATAAAATCATTTTCTCAAAAAATTGTATTGACAGATATATTGCAATTAATATTTTAATTTTTCTCACACTTTCTGAGTATATTCGGTTAAAATATAACAGGTTTAATTAATAGTTATTTAATAAATTTTAGTATGAATTTTTGTGGTATTATTCCCAGAAACTGAGAAAGTAAATTACTCCTTATGACTGTTTAACAAATCTTTTTCTAAGTAGGGTGTTTCTAATTCTTTGCTTTCAGCAACACTGAAGAAAGACTTCATCGAGTTAACAGTCAACGAGATAAAAATATATTTTTATAATAAATCACTATAATTTTCAGCATATTACTTGGAAGGAATTCATAGAATTGATTGACACTATTATAATAAAGCACCTTCTTGTCCCATCTACGATTTAGGTGAACAGGTTTTCTCAGCATTTATATTTATACAAATATAAGTAAAACAGAGGCAGGATTTCTGCTGAGCCCTGCTTGTAGCTAGCAATCAGTCATATTCCTATCTGGGTAAACGAGCAGTTCCAAGTATCTCACAAAAGCATGTATTTCTAATAAAATTATATTTAACAAATATATAAATTTATAATGCATTTATGTGGTTTTGATTGCATACTAACAATAATTGTAATAAGGCAATCTAGAAGAACTATTAAAACCTTTGGTCAGAGAAAATTTAGAAAAATAATTTCAATTTTATATCTATTTGATGTAGGGAAGATTTCCAAGCATAAAAATATTTTATATTAGGATAAAATTCTGCAAGAAATGTGGAATAAACATATGACTTCAAAGAGAAAAGGGAATAATGTAAAATTTCTAACAGTTAAGGACTTCATGTATTTTTTTTTTCAAATGAATGGCTACAGGTATCAATCACAATGGTATTTAGATTCCTTCAGATACATTTGAAAGATGAATGTAACTTAACAGTTTGCTTGTTTTTTCTTTTCTTTTGTCCTTAATGTCAATATTTACAATGTGCCAGAATTATATCCTTTGCAGTTATTTATACTTATAGAACTTCATATATCAACTTAAAAATGTATGAGGAGGTACATAGCATTTCAAAATCATTTTAGGGGTTATGCAAAAAAAAAAAAATACTGAAAAGCAGTAATACAAGGCACATTCTTTACCTTCTAGAAGTTTATAGCTGACTAGGTATATACTAACATACAGACTTACAGGAAACAGAACACAATTATATGCTAAACATTCTTGAATTAATTAATTAATTCGTTCTTGAATTAATTAATTAATTCGTTCTTGAATTAATTAATTTTAGGAACAGATACTCTAAGGAGGAAAACAGCAATGTGCACCAGAGTAATCAGAAACAGCCACAAAGAGGGGAAGTAAAATTTGAACAAGGCTTTGAAGGATGGCTAGGATTCCAATAAGTATAGAGGCAAAGAGAAATTACTCCGAGCAGAAGGAACTATGTGGGCAAAGGGAGAAAGTAGGGTAGATGCCAGAGATACTGAAGAAATAAGAATTTTTCATTTATGGTTGTAACTTTTCATTTTGTTTTAACTTCACATAAAAGTGAATAATTAAAATGAGCTTATTTGGGGCTTCAAGATTTTGTAACTAATATCGGCAAAGAGTAGTGACTTGGGGCTTAGATCATCTAACTACTTTCACTGGATTTAATCAACTACATTATCACTCCCTCGGCATTCAGCAACTAAATTATCTTTGAAATCATATGGTCTTATGTTTTAGACATCACAGAAGTAGATTAGTAAAAATTTCAGAAGGTCAATTTTGAAGTAAATTGTGAGAGAAACTGAAGAATAGCAAGAATTGTGAAAGAAAAAATATCTTGCATGTTGGAGACGCATTTTGGCCTAGAATAGCCTAAATGTTGTAAACCTATCTTATCTTATGAGGCAAGAAAGAAAGCAGTTAGAATATAGTGGGTCTATGGAAACTCATTAAATTTTTCTTTCAGTATCACATAGCCTAACACTGGAAGTGAGGTATGCTTAATTAGATGTGGTAATTACACAACATTTATTTCTGGATTTTCACAAGCAAGTAGGACAGAACATACATTTAGTTCCTTATAGTTCCTTAGTGGAAATGAGATCCCTTTAGTCTTGTAAGCTACTTATCATTGACACTGTGAAGTCACAAGCCAATGAAGACTAGTATGTGAAGGAGAAACCTCAGAGGAAAAAGTAATGAGGCTGCAGGAAATGAAGCCACTGAGTCATTCAAAGATGAGTGCTTCAATACCAAGGTTGTAAGTACTTTGTGGAAACTATCTAGAAAGAAGCTGTGCATCCCACTGAGCCTGCACCACTCAGATAATACCACAAAGCAGAACTTGTGAACCCTGTGATATTTCTTAGATGAGATACCAAACTGACGTTCAAATTATCAGGCATTAGCAATGCACCAGAACATTTTGGAAATGCAATGCTCCATAAGTTGAACGGATTTCCAAATTGTTCCATTTATTATTTAGCATCTAATAACCATGTCTTTTTAGGTGTAATGTAAGTAAATTAAGTAATTTGCTTAACAAAATTAATTTTTAGTAACAAATATATTGCATCATAGAAAATATTCAGTGGGCTAAGGAAGAACTAGTAAGATCTAAAAGTCAAGTCTCATGGTACTTAAGTTTATATTTAACTTTTACAGAATTGTGAATTTGGAACCTTGACTCCAATTTCGTTGTTTTGGCACATAGTTAAACTTAAGCATCTTAAATTAGTTGGTATTTGTCATATTTTTTTTAACTTTCATTTTGTAATAATTTTAAGCTTACAGAAAAGTAACAAGAATAGTACAAAGAACGCCCATATGGTCTTCATCCAGATTCACCAATTGTTAACATTTTGCCCCATTTGCTTTATTCTCTATTCTCA